AAATTAAATAGTGTTTCGATCCATCTGTATAATATGTACACGTGGTGCATGCCATTAATTACCAAGGTGTGCGACTAAGGAAAGTAAAAAAAAATGTTTAGTTTAACATCTTATAATACAATGCCCTCTCTTATTCCCTAGCGATGTCGTAGCCATCATGACATCATAGCGCAATGCATTTCTTACGTGTTTATGGTGATGCTAGTGTAAAACATACTGTGCTGTCAGCCGTATAAAAGTATAGTACATAGAATTATGTACAGTACATAATACTTGATAATGATAATAAACAACTGTGTTACTGGTTTATGTGGGACTGGGCGATAAAATGATAGCGATAATTATCACAATACAATTTCCCTTGAAATCGATATGCCACATGCTCAATATGATTCTTATATCATTTAAGACTAAATGTCACAGGCGAAACACTTTGCATCACAAAATGGCATCACTTTCTGTGTGACTACTTGTCAGGACTGGCGAGTGAGCACAAGCGCAAACAGCCGTGAAAATGGGGATTTATGGAACAAAGAAGGGAATGCAATAGGCCAGGCAGACGACAGAAAAAAACTACAACAGGGCAACTCACTAGAAGAGGTTAAGTCCAAAGCAATCCGTTCAATCAAGGTAATCCAGCAAAGTCCAAAAGGAAAGTGCACAGTAAAAATCACTCTATGAGAGATCCCAACAGTAATAGTCACAGAAAATTAAGAACCAATAGGAAGAATGCCAGCGACTGCGTTTTTGCAGCAATGACTAAACTAACCTGTTCATCTTCAATCTCAGACTCTTGAAATGTGAAATGCCATTTTCGGTTTTATGTGATATTTGGTATGATTTGGTAGGTGATTTTTTGGTCTGGGAACACTGAAAAATGGCTCCCATATAATTAAATTCTGCTTATGAAAGGTTTCATACGAACGCTTTACTTCCGGATGGCGGGGAAAACCTCAAATTAATCACATTTTCTTGCAATCCTCGTGATGATGTTAAGTAAACTTGAAGCCTTAATCCAAGCACACTCACAAAACATCTTTTATAGAGATTTTATAAAAATCATATAAAAAATGGATCATGAAAACGCTACTCACTTTATCTTCGCCTTGGCCCTCAGTATGGTAGACAATCAGGTGTTCTTTGGTGGAAAATGGCATCTCAGTGAAGCCCCCTCTCATGCCGCCGAACGCTCCGGCTCCAGCAGCCCCGCAGTTACAGAACAGCAGCAGCAGGGGTATCACTGCACACATTCAGGTGGGAAGGCAAGCAGACCTTAGTCATTAGGGGGTCGATTCTCCCATGCACTTCAGTCAAAAAAGCACGTAGCTGTACACTTTTTTGACTGAAGCATATTCTCTAATCAATTTTAGTGCGGGGTTTATGTATACTTAGGCGATTTATTCTCTTCAGGCAGAGAAACACCAAAATATGGGCAAGTCGTATTTAAATGACCCTTAAGCGGATTCTGCCACTGACTAAAGTACACTTAAGTACATTTTTCACTATGTACTCTAGAGGACAGTGTTCAGTTACGCGCCTCCACATGGCCAACTGCAGTACTGCAGCTTTCAGAAAGCCGAACACGTAACAAAACAAAACTTTATGACATGTACAGTACCAAACATTTAGAAACAAACGTACCAATCCATGATGCATGTGAATAATTAATATAATCATATTACAGAATTATAATTATAACCCAGGACGGGGCGCAAACCCATTGCAAGCTCAATAACGGGACAAAATATTGTAGGAAGAGGCACTGCAATAGTAGCTACATATTAATACATACATATCCATCAGCTGTAAAAACTAGGCCTGGAGCCTGTCCCAGGATACCAGTCCACTACATTATGCATACAGACAAAATGGGCATTTAGAGATTCCAATTAGCCTAACTGCATGCCATCTCTGGGTGGAAACATGGGGAGGACTTGTAAACACCACAAACCCTGAGCAGAGGTTTGATTCAAACCGTCTACCCTAGGGGTTTGATGCAACAGTGCTGTCCTCAGTATGCATAGTACTCTGTGCCTGCCATGATGTCGTGAGCGCTGTGGGGCTGCTGTCTGACGCATACTCACGCAGCAGCATCAGGAGGCCAAGGAGGAGCAGCCCGATCCCCGCCGGTCCAAGTGCGGAGCTCCTCTTGTCCTTCCCCGCCGCGGTACACAGCTTTTTATCGGTGCAGGTGCAAGCTTCCAGTTTCAGTTCTTCATCGTCAGGACAGGAGAGGCCTTGCTGGTCTTTTATGTCAAGGACCACCTTATAGGGACCAGGCCACAGATTCTTCTCAGCTCTCAGGATGACTGTAGTGTCTTTGAGATAAGAAATATGGAAATGAAGCAAACAGAATTGTATGTATTTATGTAAAAATTAGCATTAAAGCAAGCATTTGTTAGGAAGGAAAATAAGAGCAAAGGATGAATTTTTGACAAACACGTGCTGTGTGTATTTTGTCACAGAAACAGCAGTTTCTCAAGCTTCTGAAGGATTGGTCCCTAATAATCCTCCTTTAACGAACATCTGAACTCTCTGAAGTTTGCGAACCATGTTTAAAATTCCAGCACAAATATTCACCTGTAAAATACCACAGGGTTCGCAGCCCTAATGCAGGGTTCTTTGGTGGCTGGCTGTCAAGTTGATGATTCAACACTTCTTCAAGGACAATTGTGATGTTATATTTGAGTTTTAAAAATTTATTTTACATAATTATTTTTACAATCTGCAAATAAGCATCTTTTACAGTATTTCCTCTAGGTTTACAGCTTTTTTTTGGGGGGGGGGCAGACCTACACTGACAGGATTCATGGTGTTCCTGTGTTTCTTTTAATGAAACATATTTTCCGAAGCGTGCTCTCTGTCCGCTGGTGGGAGTGTGCTCACCTGTGTGTGCGCACGTGACTCTATATAGCGCGCACGTGGCGCTATATAGAAAATAAAATTAAACTAAATTAACTCGACCTTCAAAGGGGGGTGGGAGGTGCCGTTGGGGGGGGCGTGGCGCCCCCCTAATATAATGGTAGGGCAAACACTGTCTCAGGTATTTATTCAGACATGTCGACCGGCATATGCATTGCCTTTGGTTTACAACTGTTCCTAACGGTGTTTGCAGTATTAATAATAATTTCAGAACAATATGCTTGCACTGTTGTACTGAAATTGTAACAAACCGGGAATGCAAAACAGAAATTTGTACAGAACGGTGAATTTTGTGTACCGTTACACCCCTAATGACAATGGTCAGAATTCTGTGACAAATATCAGGGTTCCATGACAATGGTCAGTTCAACCAATGTGTGGCTACAATACTGGCAATTTAAGGTACTGTCATAAACTTCTTGTACCCACAGTCTAAACCTACCAAAGATCCCTGTGGCAGAAATCATAGTTTTCAGATGGATACTGGAATGGCCTGCTCACCATTATATCTCTCCAAGGTCCACTCTCCTGTGGTGCCATCGGGTACAATACTGAATTCAAAAGGGGCTCCATTAGGGGCAGCATCTTGATCTTCAGCTGTGGCAAATACGACGCCATCTTCTGTGCACACTGACTGTTCATGACTTATGAGCTTAGGACAGTGGTCATTGAAGTCCTCCACTTGGATGGCAATGGTACCTGTAGCAGTTTTGGATGGCATATCTAAAAAAAAAAAAAAAGATCAGCAAACATTTTAAGAGAAACCACTAGATGGCGACAAAATATATATTATATCAGTGGTGGCTGAAAACATTTAAAGAGATAAGAAGACAATGCATTTTGCTTTTAAAGTTACATATAGGTCTTCATATGAATCCACCAGACCAGCAGAGGGCAGGTGTATTGCAACAAACACAAAAACGAGCTGTGTAGCGAAATTGGTCAACTTCTCTGAAGTTTAAAGATAGTTGCAAGGCTTATGAGGTATTACAGTAATACAGTAAAGTTTTTATTACTTTTATTGCTAAACTGTAACAAAAAAAATATCTCTTGATGTTTTTTAAATATGCACTTGTCATTTTTAAATCCCGGTTCTGCTGGCAGAAGGCTACACTGAGCAGCAGGGTGCTTCCAGGTTCAGAATTTCTTGGACCGCAGTACACAAGAATAATGTGGAGCAGGAGACACTGGGAATGACCAGAAACCAGCCAGGTCAAGGGCAGAAGTGACTTTTTGATGCCAGAGATGACCCTTATCTGACATTTTTTCATGAATCGGAAGATGACACCAAGTGACCTTCAAAAGGACTGGGAAACATTAAGTGCAGGTGTGAAGTGCACTGCTAGGACAGTTCATATTAGGCTCCTAGAAGCAGGACTGAAGTCCCTTAAAGCAGTGGTTCCCAAAGTAGGGGTCGCAACCCTCTGGGGGGTCGTGAGACATTGAGGGGGGGGGTCGCGAGATGATTTCCAAGAAATCAAATAATTTTTTTAAAAACTATTAGAAATAACATTTTATCAACATTTTAACATTTTATATTAACATTTTATCCATAACTAACAAAAGATAAAAACTAGTAGTTAATAGTTACATTTAAAAAAAAAAACATGCAAATTAAAAAACCATCAGCCTTTCAAATTTCTTTCCTTTTGATCGCGACCCCTGAGGTGATTACGACAGATTAACGACACATCAGTAGCGTCAGTTGCAGCAGAATTTACAGCATGTTAAACATTCCGACATGTGCACGTAACGTGTAGGTAATTTTCATCGCTTTATGCTTAGGATATTATTTTTATTTAAATGAAACGAATGAATAAATAATTTTTTTTAAAGTTATATGGTTGTTAGAGCGTTGTGTTCTTTTGTGTTGTCATGCTCTTGTTTGGATAGGATATTTTGTTGAAATTAAACAAATGAGTAAATTACTATTAAAAAAAATTATATGGTTGTGTTCTTTTGTGTTGTCATGCTCTTGTTTGGATAGGATATTTTGTTGAAATTAAACAAATGAGTAAATTACTATTAAAAAAAATTATATGGTTGTGTTCTTTTGTGTTGTCATGCTCATGTTTGGATAGGCCTATTGGCGCATGTGCACCGCTGCGTGCAACATTTGTATATTTTAACCACTTCCGAGGATAGTGGGGGTCACGAGTCACTGGCACGGTTATTTTGGGGGTCGTGAGCTGAAAAGTTTGGGAACCCCTGCTTTAAAGCATGAAAGTAGCCCTTGATTAATGAGAAACTAAGAACCAGGCTGCAATTTACCAAAAAAAGTATATTCATAGACGCACACCCATAAATTGAGAAATGAGTGGAAAAAATAATTCCTGTGGTGAGTGTGTGTGTGTGTGTGTGTGTCTATATTTATATATATATATATATATATAGCTTGAGTTTCTCATTAATGAAGGGCTTCTTCCTTGCTTTATGGGACAGCTTCTAGGAGCCTTGCTACAAACTGTCCTAGCAGTGCATTACACACCACTTGATGTTTCCCGTTCTTTTTGAAGGGCACTTCATGTCATCCTCTGACTCATGAGACACTGGCAGATAAGTTAACGCTCGTCTTTGGCATTACAAAGTCACTTCTGCCCTCTACCTGTCTGGTTTCTGGTCATTCCCAGTGTCCCCTGCTTCACGCTGTTCTTCTGTACTGCTGCCTTAGAAATGTTGAGCCTGGAGACATCCTGCCATGCAGCCTGCAGAACCAGAATGAAACCAGGACTGAACAATGCAGATTTATAAAAAAAATAATAATATAGAATGATCTCAATTTTTTCCAGAGTTGTATATATACACACACACACACACAAACACACACATTCATACTTTCACATATGAAGACTCAGGCTTAAGGAGGAAACAATATTTATGGAAAAAAAAACACTGAATAGTAAGACAATTGATAAAACAGACAACAACTTTTAACTTCTCACTGTGTATTTCAACTCAAGTGTTCAAACTTTAAGGTCAAACTAGTTCATAGTTCAACTATCAGTACAGGCTTGATGTAATGGCAGTAACACTGTTCATATGTCTGCTATCCATGAACAAGCACTATTAAAGTCATATTGTAGTTTTAACAGCAGGATGCAATACATCATGAGTGTAAAAGTTTTTATCTGGTATGTCCAGATATTGTGTGACATCAGGACTAATAAAGCAGACAGGTGTCAGAATGCTTGATCACTTGAGCACTTGCCTTGTGACATGCAGAGTACTTTTGCATAGTATGTTCCATTGACTAGGTATTTAGACTCCCGATCTGGGGCTTTGTTGAGTCGGATGTCACCCGTTTTTTCATCAATTGTAAGCCAGTTGTCAGGATCAGACCCTTTGGCGTACCTGAATGCGCATAAATTAATCCAAGTGTTAATAAGGTGCAGTCAATTTCATAAAAAAGTGACAAAAGGATTCTAAACAAGACCCTCAAGGTTTACTTTTTAAAATCTGTTTCATAAGGCGCTTTCACACCAAAGTTCAGGAACCTAGTTCCTGGTTCTGAGTTCTTGGGCTGTCTCGAACTTTTGTAGTTTCTGGCCACTTTGTGTGTTACTTTACCACCGCAAAAGTGTCACAGATGTCATAGAGAGACTAACTTGCACAGGTTGTTTCTGGTTTGCTCCAGTCTTACACACACTCCGATGATGTTGCCTCAAATGAGTTTGCACAGTAGGCGTGTTTCCGGCAACATATCCAAGTTTGGTATAACTGAGCCAACAGACAGTCTTAGTCTTATAAACTACTGACTCTCTCCAGTGCTGGTGAAATTTATCGGGAAACCAGAATGTTTCCAAACTACCAATTATGACTGACTGTAACCAGCATTAGCTATAACCAATTTAAATTTAAAATTAAAATGTTTTCTGTGTTGAACATCTGCTTTTGTATTTAGTATTTTGTATTTCCGCCCATGTTAATAAATGTATTTATTTGTTTACCGAACTGAAAATGATGCACTGAATGGTATATGGTGTATACATGTACCGTTATGATCCTATAAGCCAATGATGGGGAGTTTGTGCACACCAACCTCACGTTTTCTGCTGGTTTTCGTGTGTCTGAATCAAGAGCTGGATAATGTCCAATCACTTTCTTGGAGTCAAACGTTGTTTTGTCCTCAGAGACGGGGAAGGCTTTTACTTTGGGGGAAAACATGGGGCCCTCTGGCTGGTTCTTCACATTGATCTTCACCGGGTAGGTCTTCATAAACGTTGTGCCACCTCCGGGTACACCTGGACCACTTCCCGGAAAGCCCCCAGCACCTATCCCACCTCCCCCGGCACCTCCCCCGGCACCTCCTCCGGCACCTCCCCCGGCACCTCCCCCGGCACCCCCTCCAGCACCTCCCCCGCCTCCTCCAGCACCTCCCCCGCCTCCTCCGGCGCTTGTCCAATCCCCTGAGGTGACATATGGGGCCTTGTTCGTCACAGCCAATTTGAGGTCCAAATCTTTGAGTTCTTCATAATCGACAGGCTTAAAGAAAAACACAAAGGTATTAAATGCCATCCTGTCTGTCACAAACATACTGGCACAGAGATGAAGCTTTTCGCACCTTAACCAGTGTTAAAACTCCTTCGTTGGTCTTAGGATCAGTCTCGATGTGGAAGTACCCAGCTTCATTGCCAGAAATGATTTCAAATTGGGCCAACCAGTTGTCTGTATTTTCTAAATCTTTATCAAATGCTTTAAATCTCATCACCTCCATATTGGCCGTATTTTCATCTATGCTTCCTTGATACTGCAGAGAAAATGTGGACAGATCTAAGCACTGTGCAAACATACATTAGAAAGTCTGGAATCACAAAGCGATCGGGCAATATTTACACTGTCCTTCTCCAACGTAGGAAGGTTGTCATTGATGTCAAGGATGTTAACCACGACAGTCCCTGTTCCAGTGAGTCCATTCACTGCACCGTTGAGATCTGTACCTTTGACAGTCAGCACATATTTATCTTGCGTCTGCAGACAGGAAAAAACAGGCAGCTCATGCTCAAGCAATAGCCCTTAATGTCTTATCATAAGGTCAATTTAACAGCAATGCTGAATATAAAGAATAGAAATTAATCCAAAATATATTACTTCTACAAGCTGGAGATACAAGTCTGAAATAGGAAAATTTCTCAGCTTTGCTGCAACATACAAGTAAACTCCTTTCTTTCTTCATAAACGGCATTTGGGCTGATAGGCAGACCCACCTGATTTCTAACTGGACGTGTCTCTTTATTAGGATGAATGAGTATAATTTCTTTTTCATGTCAGAAGTATCACATCCAAAGCATTGTGTTAGAATCAAACAGAAATCAACACACAACCTGTCCATTTGCTTGCCTACCTCTCTGTCCATAGGATTTTGAACATAAAGCTTCCCATCATCTTTCATGAAGAACATACCCTCTCCTGGTGACTGGTTCAAAATGCTATACTTAATTTGCGAATTTGGATTCCCAGGCTCATCGTCATCTGTGGCTGTTACTGCCATTATGTAAGTACCTATAATGCAAAAGACGGGAGTTTATTAATTCCACCAATCCTAATGCATCCAAATCACCTTGCAATTAAGAGGCTGTTGGAGATAAACCTTTGGCAGGTGGTTGCTGCTGTGTTACACTGAAAAAAAATCATGTTTATTTGCTGTAAAACTCTAAACAAGAAAACTTAAACGTATTAAATGTAGTCATTCATAAACCTGGCAAAATTATGTAATCTGGTGATGAATGTGCAAGTTCAAAAACATGACCGTCTGGATGGCGGTGGGTAAGTTAAATGGACAAAGAGAGTAAATGAGAAAAACAAAAGATAGAGTTAATGACTTGCCTGTTGGACTTGATTCATTGATAGCGCCAGGCTCCATTTTGCCAAATGTAGGATGGCAGTCATTTTGATCCACAACCTGAATACGCAGGTTGAGATTATTTTCTGCATAATCTCCGTTTTTATACTGTGCAACTCCCTGAAGCTGAAAAGCAACAAACAAACAAACCATAAACAAACAAACAAACCAACAAATAAATAAAACAGGTTTAATGTTACAATTCCAGTCTTAATCTACATATGATTCAATTGTTTTTAATAAGGTGACATATCATGATCAGGTATCCAGGATTGAAACGGGGCTCACATTATATTCAGGAATTTTTTCTCGGTCCAGAATGCCCGTGATCCGAACATTACCGGTATCTGGGTGAACAATAAACAAATTCACTGGGTCTTCAGTGGCCCCCTTTCCTCTCAAAGAGTATTTCACAGATGAAGTAAATTCCTCATCAGATCGAATCTGGAAAAACAAAGGTGATTTGTCCATGAAAAAAATTCAGGAAAGAAAAACTGCTATTTAAATTAGTTTAGCATTAAAAAGAAGGAAATTTGAATTTCATTGTTATTGTTTTTTTCTCAATTACTTTGACACATTTCTCAAATGACAATTACAGTTTACAAAACAGCTAGTGTGATACAGTATAATGTCACTTCTGCACAGAAGTACATCATTTCTCATTGCTTCACACAAATTTACAAATGTTTTAGTACATGTGTGCAAATGGTCTTGTGCAATTGTCATCATCTGGCACAATTATCGGTTGCTTTAGTCTTGGATTATGGAGTTCCCCATTGTAATAATTATACACCCAAAACAATATATGTATGTGATCGTCATTTAAGCCACCACATGCAAAACAGCTGACCAAACTTTCAAAATTATTCAAAAATATATTCCATAAATTGCATTGATAATGCATTGCTGTATTTTTGTTTCCCGCAGTACCTTTTTTTTTGCCATTTTATTGGTCTTGTATTGCTGTTTTGCTGTTTTTGTTTTATACCGTGCTGTGTGACTTTTCTGTTTGCTATTGTACTGTGTTTTGAAATGTGAAATAAATTACAATTGCATGCAAATGTTTTCTCTTGCCAGTGAATGTGACATGCTTTAATGTAGAGCCTTGCAATGGTAAACCTGCTGTTATTTCTTACATGAATGAGTATCAGTTTGCTAAAAATAATGGCCAGTCAGTGACAGTGAGAAAGTTGTACATGATTATCATTCGGAATCATGGAGCACAGGGAGCATACTTACTTTTTGACAAAATATCTAAGCATCTTGACTCATGGTTAAAATGATGCTGAAGGCACTTTCCATTTTTGTGGTAGTAACTAATTCATTGACATAATTATTTACTTTTGAAACATGAGTTAATTGTTTGGTTGAGTTATGGCCTTTTGCAGTTAAACCAGTGTTGTGTTATAGGCATAAACTGTTTTGAGAATTGCTCTTATAATTGTAACAATGTTAAGTATGCTTCATGAAATGTGCCAAAGTAATTGAGAAACACTGTAAATACTTTAATGCAAAATGATTTGAAAAAAGGAAGATGGATGATGTTAGTGAAATGAGTGCGTAACCAAACTCTCCAAAAATGTAATTCTTCTTAAGGGAACTCTATACATAGTGAACAGTATGGCCATTACATTATTTAATTCAATAGACTAATATGTCCAGCTGATTTACAAATACGGTAATTGTGATAACAAATATAATTGTGATAACACATAAAATAATATGATAGATAGATAGATAGATAGATAATGTGTGTGTGTGTGTGTTCAATAACTGTTCTAATTCAAAATCTCACCACCTTCTTACTTTACATCCATCACCCAATTGACAGGTCTTAAAAATCTGAAATTATAATGAAACAAAAATATTACCCTGGCAATGTACTCCCTGTTCGTATAGTCCACATTTTCTTCCAGCTTTTGGGCGGGGATTATCCATTCTCTTTTCTGTCTTTGCAGATGCGCATCTACCTCAATTTTGGAAACCTTAAAAAAAGACAGATAACATATTTTCAACGTGAAAGGATGTCATTTTGCATAGCTGGCTCAATTACTGTACAAACCCGCAATAATTATATACTCATAAAATGCTGCCTGAAGTCTTCCATTTACTTTTGGACAAAGAGCAGAAACGACGCTCCTGAACAACAGTCGCTGGGTTATTATAAGTTATAGACATGATAGCTTTTAAACGTAAATAATGTTTTGAAACATAGCCTAATGTATGGGCGGTATAGCGACACAATGGACTACATTGCTGCCTCAGACCTTTCCAGTTGGCGGTTTGAACCCCCTCACTCTCCATATAGTCTACATGTTTTCATTTTATGTGAGTCTCCCATCTGTGGTACCCCTGGCCTTGTGCTGCATTGGATAACTGATTAGAAGGTAATCAATAAAAATGTATTTGTTGCATGTTTTACAGAGGGCTGTAGAAACTCGGGGAAAAAAAACTCTTAGTATGCACAGTGCATTGCAGTTGAGCCTTAGATGTATATGCAGGCCTACTTGAAATGCCATAGAATAGGCACCTCCACTTGACTCAACACGTAATTGATTTTGCAACTTTAAACTTAAACTAAAGTTAAAGCTACCAAGACAATTTTATGGTTGTTGTTATCAGCAATCATTTTCAATTACAGTTTTTCTTGATTGCTTTGGAGCATTTCTCAAATGACAATTAATATTTGCAAAACAAAAAGCATAATCTCCACACCACAAAGTCAGTTCTGCACAGGCGAGCATCATTCCTCATTGTTTCACATAAATTTCCAAATGTTTCAGTACATATATGGAAGTGGTTTTGTACAATTGTCATCAATTTGTCATTTTGTCACAATTTTCAGTTGTAGCTTATGTATAGTTTCACATTGTAATAATTTTACACCAAAAACTATATATGTTTGTGATCATCGTATTAGCCACCTCATGCAAAACCAGTGTTTGCCTATGGGCTGATATTTGTGCCACTAGAAATTGAATATGAATTTTATATATTTGAATCTGCAGTTATCCGCATTACAAAACTGAATCTGAATTTAATAGTTTGAATCTGAGTGGTGTCCCGCCACTCCCGGGTGACGCTTGTCTCTGAGTACTGGCAACTTGTGAGAAGTGGTGGTACGATAAAGATTAAAATATAGCAGTGCCGGTACTGCTTAATTTTTATTACGTATATGATCCCGCATTTGCGCTTGCGACACCCCGGCACACGCCTCCTCTTTACCCCGACCTGCAGAACTGTCGTAAACGTGGAAATGAGTTGCGTGTGAATCTGCCGTCGATTACTTTTTCTCAAGGACCCGGACGTGTGTCACACTAGATCAGTGTTACTCAAAGTGTGGTCCGCGGACCACTAGTGGTCCGTGAGCGACCTCAAGTGGTCCGTGAAGTGATATCATCTCTAAAAAAAAATACCTAACCTAACATTGACTGAAGGGTAAAGCGAATTTATTCTCGGAACAAAAATGTATACATTTTATTTAAAAAAAATGTATAAAAATAAATGTAGGCTAAAAATAAATCTGAATTGGCAGTGCCTAAATTGTTGCCTATCAACCCCGCCAATTTCGTCTCCTAAACAACATCCGCTGTCAGGTCAGTAGGCTAAGTGAAAAGAAGCAAAAAGCAGTAAAAGCATTGAACTTTAACTAAAAAAAATACACAGATAGTATGAAACAAGGATGGATAGATGGCTGAAGACGGGATCAGTTAAAAGAAAGGCAAATGATAAAGATACCGACGTGCATAGAAAGGAGTCGGGAGCTAGCGAGGAGTCCCACTCACAACACTGCTCGCAACAAGAGGTAGACCTAGCTCCACCAAAAAAAATTCAACATGCTGGGAAATCATCTACAAAAGTTAAAAGGAAATACCATGATGAATACTTAAAATTCGGATTTTTTTGGACTGGAGATTCCGAGGATCCGAATCCACACTGTGTCCTGTGCTACGATATGAGGCTGCTTTTCACCAGAGCCAATTAGTTTATTACTTCTTCATAACAGTCATGTTACTTGCCATTTTGAATGTGTGAAAATTGAAAACAATATTTCGAACAGGAAACTTTAAATAAAATTGAAAAAGAAAAAAAAAACATTCCAAACCATTGGTTAACCATTGTTAGATGTTTTGTACAATAAAAGGTTCAAAACATTTATGCTTTTTTTTTTGGCGTGGGACGGGGGTGGTTGGATATGGTCCCTGATTTTTTTTTTTTTGAGAAAGTGGTCCTTGGTCTGAAAAAGTTTGAGTAACACTGCACTAGATTGAAATTGAATTTGCGAACTGAATTTTTCGAGGTAGGATAAATGCTATTTTAAGTTACTGGAATTCAGATTCAAACTATTAAATTCAGATTCAGTTTTGTAATGCGGATAACTGCAGATTCAAATATACAAAATTCATATTCAGTTTCTAGTGGCACAAATATCAGCCCATATTCATCTACCATTATATTAGGGGGGGACCTCCCGCCCCCCCTTGAAGTTAATTTTATTTTCTGTATATAGCGCCAGATCACAACAGAAGTGATTTAAGGTTTCCTTTCCTATAGAACAGGTATATACATTGTACTTTTATTAAACAAACTAAATAGCCTTGCGTTATTTAAAAGCTTGTCATTTTTGTCTCTACACGGTCGCGCGTTTACAATTCTCCTCTGCTCTATTGTATCGCGCGTGGTGGAGTTCCGCCCTGATGACCGCGCACAGTCACGAGCGCGCACACACAGGTGAGCACACTCCCACCAACGGACAGAGGGCGAGCGTCGGAAAATATGTCACGTCAACCACCTGAAAAGCAAACATATCTGCGTTTTTTTAAACGCTCCCAGGGTGGTGAATTGTCATAAATTGTCATAAAATGAAATGTTCTGATGTTTAATTCAGTTGTTATATTGACTGCTGTCATTAAAAGAAACACATGAACACCATAAATCCTGTCAGTGTTCGTTCCCCCCCCCCAAAAAAAAACAAGGGGAAACACTAAAAACAGTTAACTAAGCTATCAAAAAGTTATATTCCATAAATTGCAGTGATACAGCATTGTTGTCTTTTTGGTTCCCACAAAAAATACTGTCATTTTGTTGAATGAAAATTCACATTTAAAGATGTTTTCCTAAAACCTGTTTTAACGCTCATTTAAAAACCATTCCCTAGCAGAATATGTGTATACCAACTGGACCAAACCTAATGCATTATCATATTAATTATTAAAAGATGACAGACACTCACTCTTCATCCTCCCTATAAATACCTAATGTCATGTTATTTTATAACATTCCATCTTGGGCTAGGTAACTTGTGAAAAGTAAATGCAATCCACTGGAAAAATTAGACTACATTAATAATTCATGGGTGTTCCTGATACCAGACAGTACATAGATGCAGACTATTTCAACATGTTTCCACAGGTTGTGTAATTCTTTTGACTGAAGTTTCTTCCTTCTTGGGAACAGCGAGCATGCAGATGGATCGACACCCTAGAACTCATACGTTAAAACCCACTGTGAAAAATCTGGGTGTCATAATGGACATTGATTTTAAATTACACAAGCAGATACACTCAGTAATTAAAGCTAGCTTTTTTAGCTGATGCTGTTATCTAAGGCCCTTTTTATCATTTAATGATTCTGAAAAGGTTGTAAATGCTTTTATCTCATGCCAACTTGACTGTTGTAATGCCCTTTATGTTAGTGTCAGCGAAGCCTCCCTCTCATGCTTACAGCTGGTCCAGAATGAGCTTGTGTTTTAACAGGAACATGCAAGCGAGATCACATTTCCACCATACTGGCCTCCCTTCACTGGCTCTCTGCATGTTTCCGGATTTTCTTGTTTACCTATTTCTCAGAAATTTTACAACCATACGTTTCATCACGGTCGCTTGGTCCATTCAGCAGTTGTTGCTGGTTGTCCCTAAATCAAGGTTGAAGCACAGGGGAGATCATGCCTATTCAATTGTAGCCTCCAAACTCTGGAACAAGGGTGAGTCTCAATACCAATAACACAAGACTGTACTTGCTGGTCTTGCCCTCCAAGAATGAACTTGGTGCACAATGAATCACAGGATCGGTCTCGTTTGGCGAGGGTGGAACTGATGTATCCTTGATATTTGGGTCGGAGCAAGACCAGCATCCAGGGATTCTTACCATCCTCTGTACATCTGTTTTTAGTATTGGAACTGGTACTGTCAAGTACACATATTGAGATTCACCCCAAGTTGCCTTTGCATGTTAGGCTGGCCCCTACACAGCCTGATTTTAAAAACTATCATAGACACATTTTATTCCTTGGCTTTTAACTCAGTATGTGAGTTGCTTTCTTTGTTTTCCTGTTACAGTCTTATTGCACTTATTTTATTTTCATCATTTAAACTGGTCTTTGTATTTTTAATGTGTTTTAAGGTTTTTGCTATTTTGATTGTATAGCACTTCAAACAACTGTTGTTTGTTTTTAAGTCCATCCATCCATTTTCTGAAACCACTTGTCCTATTCAAGTTCACTGGGGATCTGGAGCCTATCCTGGAGGCTACAGGCACGGAACAACCTAGGATGGGGCACCGACCCATTGCAGGGCACACTCACACTCCCTTCACTCACCCATGCACGCCTGTATACAGTCAATTTGGCTAACCTCAGAATGTTTTCAGACTGTGAGGGAAAACCAGAGTACCTAGAGGAAGCCCCACAACATGAGTAGAACATGCAAACTTCACATACACGGAACCATGGTGGAGACTTGACATCATGCAGTTCCTGAGGTTTGAGGCAACAGTGCTAACCACCACACTACCATGCTGTTCCTATAGGTCTAATAATTATGAGAATGAATCAAATCAATGTATTTAATAAATCACCCGTATTAATTGCATATTTTACAAAGAATCGTACAGAATATAGAATTGTGTACTTCTTTTGTGTAAAACCATTTAAACCCATTTAAGGAAAATTTTGTGTGGCAATATTTGTTGCACTGTTTAACGGATTCAAATGTTGCCTAGTTCTTCAAGAAGTGAGTCTTTGCGATGTTTCCAGTATTTAGCATATAGACTTGTTTTACCACGTTCATCCCCAGCATTTTCGTATGTAACTTTTCAATTTAATAAAAGTCGATATTCTGCATATTTTAAAATATGATAAAATAAGATGAAATTTATATTTGTCCAGAAAGAAATACAACAACTGATAATGTAAAGTACAAATAAAAACAAGGCAAAAACATGTAAAAAGACAAACACGAAAGGAAAAGCAGTAATTAAATATTTAAATAATCAATTAAAATGAGCAAGAGAGCTGTACAAAACACTATATCACCATGAGAAATCAAAACGTCAAAATCTATTTCAAATTAAATTTCAAATGAGTATTTGAACAGACAGTGCAAAATGGCGGGTGGGAAAATGCCACAGGCCGACAGGGCCTACAGTATCCATCCAGTGTCCCTTCCGAATACAGGTGCCTTTGGAAGAGGCAGCACTGCACATTCGTATGGCAGTATAGGTACGAAAGAGTATTTTCACCATGAACTTTACTTATTTATTGCCCGTTTTTTTAAGTAAAAGGTGGTTTCGGCCAAATAGCCTACATCATCTCAGTAATTATCATTATCTTGTACATTTGAGCAAACAAACTTAAATTTAAGGAATTAAAAATGTTTTTTAAATAGTAAAATTGAACCAACAACGGCGTTTTGTCGATATTAATCACAAAAGATAATTCAATTAACGTGTACGTTAACATTAAAGAACAATAAATATTGACTAAAGATTAATAAAACAAATAAAACCCTCATATAACTGTATAATTGAAATATAGTCCTACTTTGTACAACTGTCGTTTACATTTGTTTTTATAGGCTACTCTTTGTGAACTCGTTTTAATCATTCCGTCGAGGAAATGTCGAAGTATTACAAACCGCAATAAAGCTGCAAAATGTTTCAGGACAACAGCGGGTGATTAAATGAAGAAATAATATCGCGAGAGGTTATTGATATATAACATGTAATCTTAAAAAAGTAAAACAATTCGTATGCAATTCTGTATGCTAAATACCGGAAACATCCCAAAGACACTTCATGAATCTAGACAACATTTGAATCCGGTAAACAGCGCAACAAAATCTTGCCACACAATTAATTTTTCCTTAAATGGGTTTAAATGGTTTTACACAGAAGAAATACACAATTCTATATTCTCTGCGATTTTTCGTATTAGCATGTGCAACAACTTACTGTGGGGATGACTACATATGTTAGTACAAAACTGCAATGGGTGTCAAAACTGTCCTAAAGAATAAATCGTCTTTCAGTGCAAAAAAAAACAGCCATGTTGGCAATGAATCGAATATTGTACTCACCGCAAAAAATGATAGAAACAGGAATCCGGCGGCAAGCGAGAGAATCCGTCCCATTTCATCCAGTCACTGTAGTTCAGTGACCCGTGAATGTGTCTCTCTAAGGTGCAACGAGGTGAAAACGCCAGATATTCCTCAAAGGTGTGTTACCTCCAGTGTATAACATGCGCAAAAGCCAACTACATAATTTAATGGCGTTTCACTTAAATCCCCACCCAAACGCGTCTTGTAGGAGGACCTATGACTGACAGAGAAACACAGCACCAGGTCTGCATCAGAATCCGAGGAATTAAAGAGCTGTAACAATCTCTATTAATATCATGTATTAATGTCATGATTTAAATAATGAAAATGCCCCATTACTTAACAGAAGTTGTAATTTCCTTGTTTATATATATATATATTTTTTTCGGTGTAATGGTTTTCAAAAAGTTAATTCACGCTTAACTGTATCTTAGGTAAAATAACGGAAAGTGGTATGGATCGTTTTTTAAGACAGATTTCATAACGCAACACCTACTATGATGAAAATGTGAAACAACGAAGGCAAGATAAGATAAAACTTTATTTATCCCGAAAGAAATTGTTGTGCCAATATATTTATTAAATACACAGACATATACAATAACTTTCTACTTAAGTTTTTGGGGCTCATATAACTCTGTACTTTATTGTCGTGCACAATCAGATACACGCGATTAGAACAAAGAACCGGATAGACATACTTTAGACACCTGGAACGTCCCACCCTGTCCTGACAACCTGAACCTTTTCGGTGCAGGAATTTAAAGGGACAGAAAGTTCTGGTTAGTTTACACGTCTGACAGGGAGCGACGCTGACCTAAGCCCAAAACACCAAGTTATATGAGTTGTGGGAAGGACACAGACGCGATTGCCGTGCGCTGTTTGTATATATTTTTGCGTTTAGCCATGAGGCTCTGAACCTGGCGGTGTTCCATTGGGTGTGTATAGGTGTGGTCGATCCGTTTGCTATTATTGCCGTGAGTCGTGTTGTCCCCGCATGCAGGTAAAGGGTGTGACGCAGCGATGAGTCGTCGGGCGTGTCCACGGTGTGTCTGCAGCGAGAGACTACTTTCGTTTGATTGCCACTCGGGAACCGGTGCGACTTGAAACTCCCTACGCGATGACAGCAACGCACACACACACACACACACACACACACACACACACACACACACACACACAAATGTGGGGACTCTACACTCATTTCTATGGGAAAAATCCTCATCCAACAATGACAACCTTAACCCCTACCCAGCCCCTTCAGGCATTTTTAGTTTATTGATTGCATTCACTTAAAATGGCTTATATTGTGGGGAACTGAAAAATGCCCACATGCATAAGCTAAAAAGTATGATTGACTTGTCTATATGAAAACATCTGAAGTAAGATCAAATTAATCATCTTGAAGCGAGCAATACAATAACACACAGACACACACACACTGGGCTGTGTTTTGTTTTGTTAAGCAGACTGGTTAGCAAGCAAAGTAAATTCGGAAAGGTTGCATGGGAGCGTGCCCGAGCGCACACGCTTACGCTACACAACGGGAATGCAGGTTTTCAAGAATGATTATTTCCCATAACTTAACATGAACACTTTTCCATTTCTGTCTACATTTAAGTTTTCCTTTTCTATAATGCAAATCACATATGTTATAATTAAGTTAATAATTATAATTATGTTATTGACATAGCTTTATGTATTTTGTCGTGGTTATGAATCAGGTTCATATACACTCACCTAAAAGATTATTAGGAACACCATACTAATACGGTGTTTGACCGCCTTTCGCCTTCAGAACTGCCTTAATTCTACGTGGCATTGATTCAACAAGGTGCTGA